GACGATTTTGAGCAAAAATGTGAGGGCTTATTGTTTTCCTAACGAATTTACCTTTGCTTTATTTAGTGTTTCTTCGTTTGTGCAGATTAAGCAAAGTCAAGTGAAGTTAGTCATGCTATGCTCCATTCCAAAGTCACTTGTACAATTCACTAGCTTTCATGGAGTTTGTCTTTTAGGAATTGAATCTATTTGGAATCATCTCATGGAACAATTTCAATTCAAATCTGTCCATACCAAAGGGGAATCAATTCAAATCTGTCCATACCAAAGGGGAATCAAGTCAAATCCACCATGAAGGGAGAATTCCGAAATTTGACTCTCATTTGCTACCTATGGGTCATGCATAATCTTTACCTTCTTTTGAGTATAATTTCCATCCTAAGACTTGTATTTCTTATCCAGATTTTGAAGAAAAGTGTAAAAGGCTAGCAATGCCTTCTCAAGTTGAATCAATTGGTGGAAGGAATAATGAAGTGGCAAAGGGAGTATTCACATTTAAAACTTGTTCTATACCTTCTTACCATTTAGTTGATGATGTACCATTACTTCTTTACCCAATTTCTAATTTGTTTCAAGTTGAAGGTTATTTTGTTTTTGTAGGTTGTAAAGCTGTCCAAAATTTTTCAGTTTTGATTAAAGACTTACAACCTGATTTCGTGCTTATTCCAACTAAAGGTGGTGATCTTTCATGCTTATTCACACAGCCAAAAGCTGGTGGCCAAGTGCTCAATTTGTCAGCTTCAACTTGTGCTAGTTCGAGTAACACTCATGAAATGGAATTCAATTGTTTGCTACCTTATATGTTGGAAGATGAGAAATTGTGTGTCACGCAAGATCCCAAAGCTGTCCTCCACGAGTTGTTTAGTGTCTCATCCATGCAACAAGTTGCTCTCAATTTATCCATGCAAGATGATTCAAATCAATGTCAACTAGTGCTGGATTTTACACCTTTGCACAATCAAGGTGTCAATGTGAAGCTTCATGACCAAAGGCTAATTAGAGAGTTTTGGATTGCCACTTGGGATTTTCACACGCCTTACACAAGCTCTTTCCGACCTTGGCGCATGTCCTTGTTTGAGCGCTTCCCGAAGCTGACCAAACGACATGCAACATGGCTCGTAGTCATTCATCTATTTCCCACATTGCTGTCCTTTAAGCGCACCATCGATTTGTGGACAAATCACTTTCAAGAGGAGACTTTGAAGATTCGAGGACGAATCTTTTCGAGGAAAGAGGGAATGATGCGGATACGGGTGTGCAATAATTAACTTCAACCTTGGGTCAAAGATCCTTTGGTCCACATTGGAGGTCCGATGACAAGATCAAGAACCAAGAAGGTGAAGGAAGCTTTACGAGCCTTGATCATTCACCATACAAGCAAGGAGCAAGCTAGGTTTGAAGATTCGATGGATCATGAAGTTACTTTGTTCACTTGTACGTTTAAAGTGAAAGAATGATCTCATACTTGTTAGCTTAGTTGGTAGTTGTTTTAAAACTGTCCCGTTTAGTAGTTGTTAGGCGTTGAGTATTTTATTACTTATCGGGCCTTATCGGAAAGCCTTAAAGAGCTGGCTCTTTATGCGGACCGAATTTCTTCCAGGTTTATGTGGGCCGGATTTTACCCTAGTTTTAGCCTATAAAAAGGCACCTATTGTATGAGTAAAGGGGAGATTATTTTACAACCAGAAATCGTGAGGAATTTTCCTTCAAGTTCTTAATCGAACTTACTCTTGAATTCTTGAGTTCATGGCTTAGGATTCCAATCAGACTTTATCGATTAGCTTGTTCCCTAATCGTGGTGTCGCTTCATCCATCCTTATTTGCTTAAGGTTGCTGATTACCTTTGTGTGTCAGAGGTCTTGAGTTCATGAGAGCAATCGAGTTCAATTTCTGTTGGGAGAAAAGATCCAACTCTGATAATTACAAGGTTGGGAGGTTCTAGGAGGGTCTTCCCCTAGGGTTGCCTATATCAGCTGCAATTCTCCCTCTCTTTCGTTCTTCTTCTGATGTTTTCTCTTTATCCAAATCTTCCTTAATTTGCTTGAATTTTTCCTTTGAGTTTTCCTAATATCCATTTCTCTATCTCAGCAGTGCAACTCTGCATTTTTTTCACCTTGCTCACCACCTTGTACATTCTGGACCCGTCACATCTTTCCTCCATGCCCTTTTTATTACTTCCTCTATTCCTTCTTTTTGGATCCATCTCTTGTCAAAGAAGAATCACTTCTTTTTCCTACCATTGCTCATAGTATCCAATACTAGCATATTGTGAGTAGAAGCCAAACTCTTAGTGTGTATACACTTTGGCTTATCAAACATTGTTGACCAGTCTACACTATTAAGTTCTCTGTCCAGCCTTTGTTTAATTTCCCCATTCTCCCAATTATTACTCCACGTCCTGGGATTTCCTTCGTGCTCTATGTCCACCAATTGATTCTCATTGATGAAGTTTCTAAAGTCTTTAAAACTCCATTCTTTTCTACTTCTGCCTCCCCTCCCAAATTCTCTTCATTGGAGCATAGATCGTTGAAGTCTCCAATTATGATCCATTTGTTCCCCTCACAATTCATTTCTTCTTTTGATCACTACCTACTGGCTCTTTCTAATTTGTTGATCACAACTAGCATATATCCCTATCATCCACCACTCTTCTCTCACTTCTAGATCTTCAATCAAGGCTTCTATAGTAAAGGATGTATGAGTAAACTTCTTGACATTAATATCATTATTCCATAGTAGACACATCCCTCCTGTCTTGTTCATAGCATCCACTACAAATTTTCCATCAAAATTTAGTATCCTTCTGACCTTCTCCATGTATTTCTCTTTGTTTTTATTTCACTCAAGAAAACTATACTTGGGGAGAGGAGGTTGAAAACCTCCTTCAGATGGGAAATTGTCAAGGGGTTTCCAGCACCTTGACAACTCCACACCACTACTCTCATTGATTGTTAAGGGACCAGAGTGGATTGGCCTCTCCTCCCCCTTGCTATTCAATGCTCCAGTTCTGCACTAGTCCTTTTTTCCATTTTTTTCCTTCTGTAAATTACTCATCTGCTTCTATCATTTCTTCACCTTTGAGTTGGAATTTTCCTTTCCCTTGACTCAATGCCTCTTCACAATTGTTGTCAATTTCTATCAAAGGTATTCTACCTCTCTTAGTTTCCTATGCTCTTCTTCTGAATTTCTTCCTAGATTGTTGGAGTTTTTTCTTCACCTCTTCTTCATCTGGTTCAATCTGAATTGCATTGCCATCTTCTTCTCTTTTATTTCCTTTTGACTCTTCTGATTTAGATTCTTCCTAGATCCTGCATTTCATTATTGCTCCAAGGGACTATTTCTTTATTTGCATTTTTTACTTCCTATCTCTTTTCCTCTTGCCTTCCATTTTATGTCTCATTCCCTTCCCTTGATCCAGTAAGTTCTTGCCCTTTTATTTTCTCCACTTCTGTTATGGCTTTTGTACTCCTTACTTTTCACTTGTTTGGATCTTTTCCATTGGCTCTCCCTTGACCTTGTCCTTTCCTTTCTGTCCACATCTCCTCGCTCGATTCTCTCGACATATTACTTTTTCTTGCCTGATTCTCCTGATTTAAAGCTAATGCGTTCCTTATCAACTCCTTATCTCTAGCCCTCCAATGTTGTCCATATGGGGTTCAAATATTCTGATGGCTCTTTTTCCAAGGAGAATTTCTTCCAGTTGAAACTCTAAGCCAAGGTCCATACCGGTTTTAATTTTGTCCTTTGTATATCCCAACACTTTCTGTGCAACTCTTCTCACTGTGTTCTATTATACCACAACTGTAACAGAAATCTGGGCACTTTTCATATTTGAAATTAGCCTACTTAGTTAATCCATTCATCTAAACCATAGTTCCTCTTAATAGTGGCTACTAATGTCAGCAGTGACCAGAATCTTTATGTGTCTTTCTTCCTTGCCCCCTATCTATGGAGTTATAACATCCTTAACATCCTGAAACACTGTTCCAATTTTCCTTCCAACTTGCTTAGAGTACCAATGAATTGGTAGCCCCCACACTTTCACCTATAGAAGGGACAGGTTAAATGTAGAGTCATCCTTTTCAATTCCTTCTTCCTACTTACTTAGTACGATAATTTGATTATCAAGGATCCATGGTTCTCCTTTCCAAATTCTCTCTCTCTCTCTCTCTTCTTTTCCTCTGGTAAGTAAAATTGGAACAGATTTGGTACTAACTCTATAACCCTTAACTCCTTTGGATAGCCCTAAGCCATAGTAACAAACTTTTTAACTCTTGTGAAGTTGGCGACTTTTTCCTCCCTTATTTTTCTTATCAAACTTGCCTGACACCCCACCACTCTTGAGTCCATATCTCTTGTATCAATTTGTGTTCCTCCTATCCCTTTACTAGACAAAGCAAATTTTTGCATTATTTCCACTAGCTCTACGACCATGTCAACAATGAGATATCCAGAGGGAATTAACTTTTCTATTTACCTCAGATAAATAAGATTTAACCAATGTTTTGAAAATCGGACTGGACTGGACCGGATCGACCGGTTCGATCGATTAAACCGCGGATTGATCGGTTCGATCGGTTGAATCACGAACCGGTGATGCCTTCGGTCCGATTCAATTAAAAAACCCAAAGAATTAATTAAATCGATCAAGAGCCGGTTGAACCAATAAAAATCGAGAGGTTCAGCCGATTTTTATTAAGTATTTATTTTCTAAAATAAATATTTAACTTTATTCAAAATTTTTAATACTAAAATAAATAAAAATTATTAAACCTTTAAACCGAGATCGAGTCAATTGAACCAGTTGAACTATGAACCGAAAGGTTTTTCCATTCATTCTCCGGTCCGAGTTTAAAAACATTGGATCTAACTACTTCTACTAAGGAATAAAGAAAAGGATGCAACTTTACCGAGTTATTGCAACGTCCCAAACAATACAAGCCAAGTAAAGCAAGGCTAACACGAAGACTGGTGCTACTACTTAGACACGATGGGCAAAGGTTAATAGGCTGTAAGGCGATAAACTTACCTATCTGCAGCAAACACAGGGAAGTCCAAGTTCTCCAGCTCCTGAACCCTCCTTCATCACTTCATTCTTCCCCTTTCCTGCTAGTTAGCTGGTTTTCCCTTCACCCACCCGCAAAATTTGAAGTGTCCTACCCTTTTAGCTGCCTGTTCAGCTTCAGTATTACTCCTCCGATGTTTCTCTGACATTCTGGTATCAATTTTCTACTCAGCACATTGTAGTAAATGGTGTTCTTGCACATTAAATGCAGAGATTGCTCCGAGTTAATGCTATGATTTTGGGTCTGTTGTCATTGGTTTGGAATTTTGAATTTTTGGCAAATTTTGGCGGAATGAACTCTCACCAAGGAGAGATGACCCCTTTTTCAAGAGAGAGAAAACCTCTACCTACGAGAAAGGAAGTTGTCTTTTTTTTTTTTTTCCGTTTTAACAACCAATAACCAACTTGCCTAACTTTTAGTTGATACAATTACCGCTACGCCCAAGTCCCAACTCGCTCTAATAACAAAAACGATTAGGGAGAATTGGTAGTTTTGGTTTTGGCGGACATTTCCATGCTGACAGTTTCTTCTTCTTTCTTCTTGGCTGGCTGCCTCTGGTGCTGAAGCTTCAGCTCGCTCTGGTCTTTCTTCAACCTCCATAGTCCTAATCTACACAGGCAAGACAATTACTCCTCAATCTATGAACTAAGTATGGGTTTTACTCTTTATGCTTTTTCCAATTCTTAAGCTTCCCACTGCAGAATATGATGATTGTCACCAAAACGATTAGATTCTGATTATTCTTGGCAATTATAGCCTTGATTTTGCTCTTCACATTTTCCATCACTGGTTCAGATTGTTAGTTTAAAGATTGAGATGGATATGTGGGTTGGGGTGGATCAGATACGTAGTCGGACTAAACTTTCCTATCCAGTGATAGAGCCCACGATATTGTTTGGAGAAAAGGAGAGTTTTTGGCTGTCTAATCAGAAAATATGTTATAACAGAAGCTCGTTTTCTCAGAAGATTAGATGTAGTTTTACAGAACAGGGATTGAAACCACGTCCAAAACTTCATAATCCTGTTCCTAAACCTATGAAAAATAAGCAGAGTTGGGGGAATGAACATGCTGAAGTGATGGTGGATGGAAGTTTCAGCTCTGGAATTTGTGGGAAGATAGAGAAATTGGTTTTGCAGGGGAAGTACCATGAAGCTCTTGAATTGTTTGAGATCTTAGAATGCAAATCCATTGAGGATAATCTACTGAATAGCAGTACTTATGATGCTATGGTGCGCGCTTGTATTGGCTTGAAATCTGTTAGGGGAGTCAAACGGGTGTTAAATTGTATGGTTAGCTGTGGGTTTAAGCCAGATCAGTACTTGAGCAACAGGTTGTTGCTGATGCATGTGAAATGTGGTATGATGATAGATGCCCGGAAGTTATTCGATGACATGCCTGAAAGAAACCTGGTTTCATGGAATATGATAATTGGGGGGCTTGTGGACTCTGGGGACTATCTTGAGGCATTTCGGTTGTTCTTCATGATGTGGGAGGAGTTTCCTGATGCAGGGTCGCGCACATTTGCAATGATGATTCGAGCATCTGCTGGTTTGCAGTTAATCTCTCCAGGAAGACAATTACACTCTTTGGCTTTAAAGATGGATGCTACAGATGATATTTATGTGTCTTGTGCTTTGATTGACATGTATAGCAAATGTGGTAACATTGCAAATGCGAGGCGTATTTTTGATGAAATGCCAGAGAAAACTACAGTAGGGTGGAACAGTATTATGGCAGGCTATGCATTACATGGTTATAGCGAGGAAGTTATGAACATGTATTATGAAATGCAAGGTTCGGGTGTAAAGATGGACCATTTCACATTTTCAATCATTATAAGAGCATGTACGAGGTTGGCTTCGCTAGAGCATGCCAAACAAGCTCATGCAGGCCTAGTTCGTCATGGTTTTGGGTTGGACATTGTTGCTAATACTGCGCTTATGGACTTCTATAGCAAATGGGGCCGATTAGAGGATGCAAGAAATGTTTTTGAGAAAATGCCCCGAAAGAACGTTATTTCTTGGAATGCGCTGATAGCTGGATATGGTAATCATGGTCGAGGAATTGAGGCTGTTGAGCTATTTGAGCGAATGATTTCTGAAGGGTTTGTTCCTAATCATGTGACATTTCTTGCTGTTTTATCCGCTTGTAGTTATTCAGGGTTATCAGACCATGGCTGGAAAATATTTGAGTCAATGAGTAAAGTTTACAAAATAAAGCCTCGAGCAATGCACTACGCGTGTATGATTGAGTTGCTAGGTCAAGAAGGACTTCTGGATGAAGCTTTTTCATTAATAAGAGATGCTCCATTTGAGCCAACCTTGAATATGTGGGCTGCCTTGCTTACTGCCTGTAGGGTCCATAAAAATCTTGTGCTTGGGAAATTTGCTGCCGAGAAACTTTATGGGATGGAGCCAGAAAAGCTGAGTAATTACATAGTTCTCTTGAATATCTACAATAACTCTGGAAAGTTGCAGGAAGCAGCTGGCGTTGTACAAACTTTGAAGAAAAAGGGTCTGAGAATGTTTCCTGCATGCACTTGGATAGACATCAAAAAGCAGCCCTATGTTTTCTTCTCTGGAGATAAGTGGCACCACCAAACCAATGAAATCTATGCAAAATTAGACAAAATGATGCAAGAGATCTCTGAACATGGCTATGTTCTCGAAAGCAAGTCGTTTCTTGCTGATGTGGACAATCATGAAGAAGAATTACGACTTCATCATAGTGAAAGGTTGGCAATTTCCTTTGGTCTAATCAACACAGTTGATTTGACACCATTGCATCTTGTCCAGAGCCATAGGATCTGTTGTGATTGTCATAATGCAATCAAATTGATGAGTTTGGTTACAAAACGAGAAATTGTCATCAGGGATGGCAGCAGATTTCATCGATTTAAAAGTGGGACTTGTTCCTGTGGTGATTACTGGTGATGTGATATGTGGATACAAAAACAGTTTAACCTTCTTGTCCTGAGCCGTTGGATCATCATGATGTAATTGATGAGTTTGGTTGCAAGGCAAGAAATTGTAGTGGAGGGATGCCAGAGATTTCGTAGATTAAAAAATGGGACTTTTTCCTGTGGTGTGATTACTGGTGATGCAAGAATTTTTCTACCTTCAACATTCTATGCTCCCCTTTTTTGTCCTCATTTTTCTACACCTTCTGACAAAACAAAGTGTTGCTTCTTACAATATAAACTGTAAGTTAGAATTACAGTAATTTTTGTGCTTGTTTTTGGTTGTATGTTCCAGAGAATAATAATAAGAGAGAGTTTTGATTACAAAATCTTTCTTTGAGTCTGCTATTAGAATTTAGAGAAACATGGAACTTCAGAGCTTCTTTTATGCTCCTTAATGTGTAAATTATGAGTTTGCTTCCTTTCCTTTCCTTTCCTGTAAATTCTTTTCTGTTCTAACTAGTTGGGAAGAAAGGAGAAAGAAATCCTGAATTTGAACTATTCTATCTTTGACATGAGTTTTACGAAATTTCAATTTTGATTGCTTGAATTCATTTTATTCAATATTCCTCAGTTGGATGGTTAGGCATAGTGCATCCTCAATTATTGGTAGAACTACTCTTCCTTTTCTATATTATATTAGGATCATGAATTGCTATTTTCCGATAATACTGAGAAGTTTCCAAGTGAGCTAATTTTAGATATATATGTTGTGTACAAAGAGTAAAGGCATGTTATTTGTGATGTATAGGCATTATACTTTAGAAGCAGTGGCGGAGAATGATATATTAAGATCAGAATACTCCTCCATGCTTATATCCTCTGTGTTTTGTAAAATTCCCCTCTACCCTACATAGCCCCTCAACACTATCCTATTCAAAGGGGAAGAACAATTCCATAGAATTAAGAAGCAAATAGAGTAAGATATTTAACCATGTTTATGCTAATCTCATTATTCTATGTAATAATCTTAATTTGTGCTAGCCCCCACTGGCTATGGAACTGCAAATGCAGGTGCCTACAATATATTTGCAGTTCATCTTGTTCTCTTACTGAAAAAATAGATAGAACTTTGTTTTCTCAAATGGTTTCCTGTGTTTGGATGATATCTTAACCCTGTTTCGCACATGATTATGAGTGACTACCATTTGAATAGCAACCAATTCAGTGTATGCATTTTTGTTCAGATGGAATATTGCTGGTTATGTTTCCATAGTAAACATGGTTTAACATTAGTTTGTTGGTTTCCTGAGTTGTACTTGAGATAGGAGTAGACCAATACCTTTTGCTGATTTCTTATTCTTCTTCTCATGATTTTTTGGATTTTCCCTTTTTATCTTTTCTTTTTCTTGGGGTAGGGGGGGGGGAGTGGGTGGACTGGAGAAAGGTGCCAAGGCTGGAACCAGATGCTATTAACATTTCTATTATTAGTTATTCTTTTGCGTGCATCTAGGTTATTTGCTTCCGCATTTAATCTGTCTACTAGCAGAAAATTGTTGTTATAAAAATTTGTTTAACTCTCCCAAGCATTTTCTAGGAATATTTGCCTAGTAGATCTTTATGTGCGGTTGCACACCAAGCAGGGCTGATATATGAAGTGACTTAAACTGGATTGCAGGGGACCTTTAATTACTTTCAGCTGTTAGACCCACAAACTTAATACACAAAAATGTGAATTAGTATGGGTTGTAGGCTTTTCAACATAAATAGGAGAAGCGTGAAAGGAATTCAACCACAATCTTTCGTTGTCAGCCAAGCATGTGCGGTGCTCATGGCTCCCCTTTTTTCGCTCATTTGTCGATGCTGATGATTATTAACGCATTCAATACCATTTGGCTTTCTCCCAATAGTAAAGTAAGTATCCTCTGTACTTCTTCTTTGTTTTTTTTCCCCGCATTTTCCTTCTTTTGTTTTTATTCCCCTCTCTCATCTGCACTATGTTAATGTAGTCTTGTTTGCTGGACAATCTTTACTGGCTGATAATGCCTTTTTTGTCTGTCTATTATTAGTAATAGTATGTATATTATTTGATTTTGTTCGTCCAGGTGTAGGGATACTAGTGATAACCCTTTTTTTTTCCCTTTTGCAGTGCAATTTTTGTATGAACAGCTGGGTTAGAAATTAGTGGACTGAGTGTCTTTGCCATGTCATTAATCTATTACCTTGTGCCCCCTTCTTTTATTCTTTCTCTCATTTTTTTGTGCAACCTCCATGAACTGTGGGTTTTCTCTGTGTTTACAATCATTCTCTATTCAGTAATTTTCCTCAGTGCCTTATTTAGTTCCTCATGCTATTTCCCAGTTATGTCTTTCATTTTATTATGGCCAGAAATTTGTTTTCTGATTTTGCATCTGTTTGAGTTGGCCTGCAGGTGATTTTCCGCTTGCGAGACTAAATTGCTTTATGCAGTGGATCTTCTTTTTTGTTGCGAGGTTTGAAATCAATCTTTGGGTCTTTGGTTTTACCTCTATTCTCGATTTGGTTTATTCTTGATTTTATGATGGTTTATCTATGGTTTTGTAAGACAGAAATGATGGCAATTCTGTTCTTTCTTTTTCATTCTATATGTTTCTGGGTCTGTGTTATTTTCAGCCTTTATTTATTTTTTGAGCTTTCTTTTCCTACTATTTTTTATTTTTTTCTTTTTGCCTTTATGAGTTTGTGTTTTTGTAACTTGCTTCTATTTTGTTACGTGTTTCTGAGAGTATGTTCTTTTGAGCCTTTATTTTTTTTTTTCAAGCTTTGTTTTCTCCTGTTTTTGGTTTGGCTATTGGTGTATTTTCCCTTCCTGCATATGCTTCTAAGCTTGCGTTCTTCTGACTCTCTCTCTCTCTCTGCATCTCCCTGTGTTCCTTTTTATTTTTCTTCTTTTCTGGGTGGTTTGCTTATTTTTTTCCTGAGATTTTAGTATCCTGACTTTTCAAAATTCATCTGAAATTAATGTTGTGATCATAAGTCTTGTACAGGAGATTTTTCTTTGTTTCTCTTCCTATGATACCTATTCAGATGTTTAAGCATTGTTCTCCTTTGGCTGATTTTTCCCTTTTGTTTGTTTGAACTTGTGGTTTTTATAAATTGAGAAGCATAACTTTTGATATTGTTGGTTCTGTTTCTGGATGTTTTGAAGTCACATGGTTGGGGTTTGTCGAAGGGAAGTTGCGTGTGCCTAAGGTTCATAGCTATGCGTCTGGATGGACATTGCAGGTTCAATTGATTGAGATGACACATGTTGAGAAGACCTCTGGTGGCGAGTCACCAAAGAAATTCCGGTGATTTGTTTTTGATGATTTTCAGGTATGGTATGATCCTTGTGTCTTTGTTTTCCCTTTCTTTGTATCTTTCTGTCTTCATAGGTTGTAGCTTATATTTTTCAGGTTGTTAAAGTTTCTGCACTTGCAAATGCTGACAATATTGCTCATTTTGATGGCTTGCTTGTGTCCTTTAAGAAGTACTGCATCTCAAAGTCTATGGTTTATGAAATACCAGATTCTCCTGATGGTGAGACACATCATTTTTTTGGGTTCTAACTGACAAGACTGTTATCCAGGAAGTTAAACAGGCTGAAACTCCAAATCTACCGTACTATTTTGATCTGAGATCATGCAATACCTTTCACTTTGTTGCTAATACAGACAATTTCTTATGTAAAATTCTTGTGGATTTGTGCCTTTTTTTCCTTTTATTTAATTTGCTGAGAGCCTGTGATTTACCTTGTTTGGTTTTGCTGCCCAAAGACGTCATTGGATTTGTCCTCTGTGCCTTGCCTCCAAGAGAGGTTTATCGTGCAGGAGGTCCAACAGTTGCAAGAGACTACATCATTGTCGACTATGAGCATGTTGAATGTGTGTCTTGCTTGAGTTGCTTGATTAAGTTCTGATATGTTTCTCTAATTGTCATACTTGATTGTGTTTTCATCTAATTAAAGTTCAATTCCTTTTCTGTTTGCTTCTCCTGGTTGATGTTCATCTTCTGCTACATTACGAGAAAAAAACTCATAATTTTTTTTTTTTTTAAAAAAAAAAACCCGGTAAGATTGGATGATAGCAGAGAAAATTATTTGTGCCTGATTTGATTGAGATTTCATGATATAAGGATTGGTTCTCTGTAGTTTAATAATTTTCTGCAGTAATTGCAACTACAAGGTGAAATGGAAACTGGAGAGTACGGTGAGGCGCACATGAAACCTTCAGTGATTAAACCCTTGGCATTCTGATCTGTAAAATGCTAATATCATTATAATTAAACTATGTCCTTGTTTCTGTCACTTAATCAAACAGATGGATAGCGTGGCAGAGGATGATAGGAATCGAATTGGGTGGGTTTCAGGCGAAGACACTGAGGGCGAGGGCAACACCATTGTTGGCTTTGAACAAATGATGATGGAGATTGCTCACATTCATTAGAAGATTAATCGCTTTACTCAGCTGGTAGTTTTGCTCTACCCTGTCTTTTCGTGAAAAGATCAGTTGAGGGGAAAAGTGAAATGTGGAGAGTCCAAAATTTCAAAAGAACCAGAAAAATATATAAAGGAAAACAGTCCTATTTGCTTAGGCATGGTGTAATTCTAGAAGTAAAAGTTTGAAAGATCACCTTCCTTGATTGCAAGTAATTATGGTGGGCCTGGTTTCAGTTTGTCTGAATATAAATTCTGTGCTGGATTTCATTTTTACCTGATGAAGGTGTTTGAGCTGCTGGAATCAGGGAAGTTAATGCTGAAGGATCTTAGTCGTGAATTTGAAGAAAGATTAATTGTGTGCGTCATTGGAAAAGTAGGTATTAGGTTTTCAAGATCAGGTTGGTGTAATATTTATTTTTATTTATTTGTTTTTGGCTGAAGCATGTATGTCTACAGAATCCACAAGGAACATATATGGATAAGTGGGAGGAGGAGATTCAGGAACTATGGTTGCTTGGTGCCTCAAATAAGGAGACCATTGCTGTTTAGCACAATGCTAGATGTCTACTTCACAATTTTCCTGGTCAATCTTGAAGGTAAACTCTGGCATCATTTTATCTGCAGAGAGGGGCACATTAATTGGCTGAAATTAATAGCTTATTGCTAACATTGGCATCTTTTGAGCTGCAAAATTACAATTGAGACCTTAAAAAGTGTTTGAGGTTGTTGGCTGCAACATAATGGTTTTGGTATCAACATACAGAAGAATGTTAATTTGGCACTGTTTCTTCTTGTCATTTTTCTCTTTTTAACAGATACAGCTGATATCAAAATTGAATGATGTATTCTGACTTGTGGAACTGATGCATCTACAGAGGGTGAAAGTTTTGTAAATTAGCTTTGTTGTTTTCTGATACTCGTGAATAGCTCTTGTCTTCTGTTTTGGGGTTTTAATCTAGAGTTGAAGAGTGTTACGTTCAGTTTTTAGACAGCAGAATCTAGATTCATTATGAGGCTTCATATTTGATTTGATCAATGTACGTGGCAATGCTAATTATGTCCCAATTTTGCTTCAATCATTTGCTAAGGTATTAAACATCTACTCTGAGGTTCCAAAATCTTTTCACATGCTAATTCAGAACATTTGTCCTTGATGCTTCTTGTCACTGAAAAGATACAGAACTTTTGTTAATTTAGTTATTGTATTTTTACTTTTGCACGAGTTCATTTTTTTCCATATCTTTTAGATGGAAATTGAAGAAAGTTTAACCTGTATACTGCAGCTAGGTGGCATCAACAGGCACCCTTAGTATCAGTTTCATTTAGTTTTTGAGCATTAGGATGCTGGTTTCATCATTCTATGTGGCAGGTTGGGGACATTGGTTCTGCATTTACGGGGTTTGGTTATAGAGATATGAGGTTGTATGTAAAACCATTGAGAACAGCTTTTGATCGGCCTTGGCACCACTGAAATCAAGCTGATAGAGTTGACAGCTTGCAGCCTGTGCTCCAGTTTCACTTTTTACTCTGAATTCCAGTAAATAAAGGTCATGAATTTTGTATCTAAGAGGTCTAATAGGTTTGTGGCATTCTTCATTCTCAGTGCTTTGAGCATTTACTTGCAATTAGTGATCAAGTGCTCTATATAATGGTATTGAAAGATTGGAAGACAGCACTATTGTTGCATTTGTCTCCTTATTGATTATGTTGAATTGATGCTAAGCTGTGTGCTAGTTTTTTACCACTTATAAGAGGAGATTGCTGTCCTCTGCCTAGGCTTACTGGTAGGAGATATTTTGATAAGGCCAGCTGAAAACTAAGAAAAAGGGAGAGAAAATACTTTTCTTCAAACCTTTGGACTACACAATATACATATATATATATACACAAGTGTAACTACCTAATTAATATATGATACTATAATCATATGATACCTAATTAATACATGATACTATAATCACATTTTTTCTAATATTTACACATACCTTCAACACTCCCCCTCAAGTTGGAGCATAGATGTTGCTCATGCCCAGCTTGTTACAAAGGTAATCAACTCGAACCCCATGTAGAGCCTTCGTAAAGAGATTTTCCAATTATTCTCCAGTCCTTACAAATCCTGTAGAAATCAAGCCATGCTGTATTTTCTCACAAACAAAATGATAATCTATTTCGATGTGTTTTGTTCGCTCATGAAATACGAGATTGGATGCAATATGAAGAGCTGCTTGGTTATCACACCACAATTTTGCAGGCATTGAAGTTTTGAGACCTACTTCAGTTAGAAGTTGATTTATCCACATGATTTCACATATCGATTGTGCCATAGCTCTATATTCTGACTCTGCACGGGATCGCGAGACAACATTCTGCTTCTTACTCTTCCATGAGACCAGGTTTCCTCCAACAAAGAAACAAAATCCAGTTGTGGATCTTCGATCTGCCTTGGATCCTGCCCAATCAGTATCTAAACAACACTCAATCCTAGTATGACCATGATTTTTATACAGAATACCACGTCCAGGAGCTCCTTTTAAATAACACAAAATTTGTTCTACAGTTGCCCAATGATTAACAGTAGGATTAGACATATATTGACCAACAACACTAACTGAATACGCGATATCTGGACGAGTCACTGTAAGATAATTCAACTTTCCAACCAATCTTCTATACCTCCCAGGATCTTCTAACAATTCACCTTCTTTTGTGAGCTGCAAGTTAGGAATCATTGGGGTACTAGCTGGTTTAGCCCCCAATTTTTCCGTTTCAGATAGTAAGTCAAGAACATATTTTCTTTGGGACAGGAATATCCCCTTCCTACTCTTTGCTACCTCAATGCCCAAAAAATACTTTAACAGTCCCAAATCCTGTCTGAAATTGACTATGGAGAAAAGTTTTAAGAGATGAAATACCTGCAGTATCATTCCCAGTGATAACAATATCATCCACATATACTACCAACAAAAAAATAATATCAGCTTCAGACTGTTTGTAGAAAACAGAATGATCAGATTTGCTTTTCTGCATCCCAAACCTTTCAACTGCTTGACTAAATTTTCCAGTTTGTTAGGTCTGGTCCCAGGAAATTGATCAACGAGAACAATAGGGTTCTTGCCAACTCAATAATGACAATAACATAATAAATAAATCAAACAGAGAAACACGAAATTTACGTGATTCGGTCCAATTGACCTACGTCCACAAGTGAAGGGGTAGCAGATTTATTATAACAGAAAGAGAGTACAGAAGAGAAAATACAAAACCTTAGGAAATAATTTTCAGGCCCAAAAGGCACCTAAACTGAAAACACAAAAGAGCCTAAATAGTAGTAAAAACTTAATGGCCCAAAGGCCCATGACTTGCTCATTTGGTTTGATGCCAAACCAGAACTCCTCTCAGATTGGGGTGTGGGCCCCCTAAAAACTCTCTTGGACTGGTGCACATGGCACTTGGGCTAGTGCCCTTAGCACACTTAAACTCACTTAAGCCTACTATATTTATAACTACCACAATGAGAGCTTTCTTTGTTAAACTCCCGATGTGGGATACAAAAGACACACCCAACAAATCTCCACCTTGGCGTGTATCCAACATCAGCAAATAATAGATGAATAGCAAATAAGCTCCACCTTCTCCATAAAAGTCCTAACGGATGTCAACGAACCACAAAAGTCCCATTGAACCACAACGAGCCACCAACGAATCAAAATGCAAAAGGCTCAATAGGTCCCAACGGGCCAAATCTCACAGAAGGTTCAATAGATCCCAACGGGTTAAAAACCACCAACATAGTAATCTTTCTCCATCTTCTCCAAACCCTTGACGAGTTCCAACGGGTCAAATAACTCTTCTTCAACACCCAACAGAACTCCGACAAAATTTTTTTTCTTCATTTTTTGTAGCACCCAAAACTTGTTATTGTCATCAAGAACCCAAAATCTGACCATGACCAAAAACCCGAAGCTCTGATACCATCTAGGAAGGTTTGTCATCTTCTGAAGTCCTTGTATGGACTGAAACCAAGCACGAGGACTTTGTTTCAATCCATACAAGGACTTCCGAAGATGATAAACCTTCCCAGACTCCCCTTAAGCAACAAACCCTGGTGGTTGCTCCATATAAACTTCCTCTTGGAGGTCTCCATGAAAAAAGGCATTCTTGATATCTAGTTGATGCAAAGGCCAATTATGAGTGGCTGCCATAGAAATGAATAACCTGACAGATGTTAACTTAGCAACAGGGGAAAAAGTGTCAGAATAATCCTCTCCATAGATTTGGGCATAGCCTTTGGCAACAAGGCGAGCTTTTAACCGAGCAACCGACCCATCAGGATTGAATTTAACTGCAAAAACCCACTTACTCCCAATAGCCTTCTTTCCTGCAGGTAAATTTACTAAGTTCCAAGTATCATTACCATCTAAAGCATTCATCTCCTCTATCATAGCATTGCGCCATCCGGGATGGGATAGGGCTTCATGAACAATTTTAGGAAGGGAGATAGAATCAATAGATGTAATAAAGGAACAAGAAGAGGTGGGTAAATGATTATAAGATACACACGAAGACACAGGATAAGTGCATTGATGCTTACCTTTGCGAAGAGCAATAGGAAGATCATCACTTGAGACAGGATCTAGTAACAAAGGAACTGGTTCAGGGCATGCATCAGGAGACTTTTGTCGTCGAAAATATACCTGAGTAATTGGAGGTTTAGCAGGGGAAGAATTTGAGGATGTGACAGTATAGATTAACAAATCATCATCCTCTTCCTGACATGAATGAGTTGAGGATGGGGTAAAAGATATATTTTCAAGAAAAGTAACATCAACTGACACAATGTACCTGCCGAGACTAGGACAATAACATCTATATCCTTTTTGGACACGGGAATAATCCAGAAAAATACATTTCAATGATTTGGGGTCTAATTTAGTGACTTGGGGACGAGAGTCACGGACAAAACATGTACACCCAAAGATTTTAGGTTCGATGGGAAACAAAGGTCTATTTGGAAAAAGAGTGTTATAAGGAGTCCCACGATTCAGAACAGATGAAGGCAGACGATTAATTAGAAAGCAAGCTGTGGACACTGCATCAGCCCAAAAATGTTTAGGAACATGCATTTGAAATGATAAGGCTCTTGCAGTTTCTAGCAAATGTCTATTCTTTCGTTCTGCAACCCCGTTTTGGGATGGTGTATCCACACAAGAGGTTTGATGAATAATGTCATTTTGCACCATATAAGATTGAAAAGGTGCGAATAAATATTCTTTGGCAATGTCACTTCGCAATATTTGTACAGAACGCTTAAATTGAGTCTTGATCTCAGCACAAAAAGTACAAAAATTAGAAAACAACTCTGACCGATTTTTCATTAAATATAACCAAGTCATACGAGAATGGTCATCAACAAAAGTAACAAAATACTTGAATCCAGTACTAGGTCCCCAGACATCTGAATGACCTAATGCAAAAGGAGCATCCGCTCGTTTATTGACTCTAGGACTTAGATTAACACGATGATGTTTGGCAAACTGACACGACTCACAATCTAATAAAGACAAACTCTGAAATTGTGGACAAAGTATCTTTAACAACGGGAGAGAAGGATGACCCAGCCTACAATGTACTTCAAATGGAGTTACAATTCCAGAACAAGCTATGGACTTTGATATCTGTGTATCAAGAATGTAAAGACCTCTAGATTCATGCCCTTTACCAATAATCTGCTTCGTCGTAAGATCCTGAAACAAGCAATAGTCAGGATAGAATTGGGCAGAACAATTGAGGGCACGAGTAAGTTTACTCACAGAAATTAGATTAAAAGACAACTCAGGCAAACTTAAGACAGATGACAATGAGATTAATGGAGTGGGGTTAGCTGGGCCTGATCCAAGAACACGAGATTTTGACCCATCAGCTAAGGTAACTGTAGGTGCGGATGTGTGTGGTTGAAAGGTAGAAAATAGACTAGAATTACCTGTCATATGATCTGTGGCACCAGAATCAACTACCCATTTGGAGGACAAGGACACAAGGCATGTTTTTGGTTTACCTGACTCAGCGATGGCAGTTACGGGAGTAGATGAAGACTTTAATGATTCTTGATACTGAGAAAATTTAGCAAATTCATTTGCAAAGATCGTAACAGACTTTTCATGGTTAATAACATCATTAGTAGAGGCAATATGTGCGGATTGAGTTCTCTGGTTCCTGTACTGCAATTTCTTACAATCACGCTTCATATGACCCGGCTTATGACAATAGTGACACGCTACCACTTCTGTATTCTGTCCCTGAGTGTCAATTCCTTTACCACCTTTGTATTGCTGTTTTCCAAGACCAACAAGAGCACTGCTGGACTGAACAGACTGGATATTCTCTGTGCGAAGCACCCTACTAAACACATCTTGCAAGGATGAGATCTCAGGACTGGAAAGAATCTGAGATTTAGCAGCTTCAAATTCAGGTGAAAGACCAGCCAAAAAACTCATAATTACCATCTATTCCCGTTGAGTTTGCTGCACTTTCACATTAGAACTAAACGGTAATAACAGATTAAGCTCCTCATAAGTTTTCTTAAAATCCATAAAATAAGTCATGATGGACTTATCTTGTTTCTCTGCACGATAAAAGGCTCGACACACCTCATATATGCGAGAAATATTCCTTTTACTAGAATACAAAAATTCTAAATGCTCCATTAACTCCTTAACAAATTCACAGTGATTAATTAAGCTAATTACCTCAC